AAAATTTATAATTAATAATAAATCATGAAAAAAGAGTTTCATAAATAATTTATAAGTAACACATAATTCATAAAAAACTCATAAATTAACGATTTCTATTTTCTATCAATGCAGTAGCTATTTGGTTACGAACTCTACCCATATGACTATCATCCAATGCTCTGAACCCATTTCTTCATCATTAAATAGTTTAAGAAGAAAATTTATTCTATACACAATTAGTTGAAAATAATAGATATTGTCATTTATTTCATAGTTTTAATTGAAATTTTAAGTCTAAATTATATAGTACAAAGTTTTATAATTGTTAAATTTTATTGTAAAATCAAAATGTGGATTTATATTATTTATTTTTGTATCTTTATCAAAATTAGGTTAAGTTAATTTGGTTTTGATAAAAAAATTATTTTAATCAAATAGATCTCCTAATATGGGTTTAGACTTTAATTCTGTTTGAGAAAACAACCGGTTTGCCAAAAACACGAAAAAAAAAAGTACTATTATCATATTTATTTGACATGAACAAATCATTAACATGAACAAACCTATTTGATTTATTTCAATCATAATCAATAAATATTACATACATAAAAAAAATTAAAAACAAATAAACATCACATAATTGACATATCAAACAATAAATTGAGAAATATCAAATAATAAAAAGAGTTTTCAAAACTCAAAAAAATAAAAGAATGATAAAAAAATGAAAAACAAAACTAAAAAAGGAAAAAATAATACTTTAATGTAGTTCTGATTTTTTTGTTTTTGTTCTTTTTAATTTTTGTAAGAATAAAAAACCTCTGATTTGCAAAAAAGGATAGGGAGATTGATAAGGAGAAAAGGAAGAGTATTTTTTTGAGAGAGAAGATTTTTTTTGAGAAAAAATAACTCTCCTAATAAGCTGGCGTGTTTTTTTTTTAAAAAAAAAAAAGAAGAGAAAGCTTTTAATTGAAGTTTTTTTTAAAGTTTTTTTTTTAGATTTTATTCTTTAAAAAAATTAATTTTTTTTAAGAGCTTTTTACAAAATTCTATTTGATTCAGTTTTTACTTTTAAACAATAAATAAATTAAATATAAACCAAGTCAAACAGGTACTAAGTATTTTTATTTATTTAAGTAAATTACATAAAGCACCTTGAAATATTAAGTATTGTTCATATAAAGCGTCGAAGATTGTCTTATTGCAATTTCAACCTACTAATTAGAATGGTACCCCTTTATACTCTCTCTGGTTACGTCATTTAATATGCATTATTTGATTCATGAAATCAAATACTTTGAATTAGTGGTAGAATCAAGATTTTGTTGTGGAGACGGAGATAATATTTATAAAACAATTATATTAGAAGTTCGATGGTTGATAAAAATATAAGTAACTTAAATAAAAAAAATTTATGTAAAAATTACATAAATAAATTCAATTACGTATTAAGTACAAAATAAAAATATTTTTTAACAATTATTACATGCTAAAATTAAACATCTTTAATTGAGCTGGACGATCTTTCATAAAATTAAAAACATCTATTATTGAATTAATGTTAAAATTTTGAATGAGAATGATTAATTTTGAAAAAATCATCTAACATTCTATTATAAGTCTTGTTTTTAACTAATTTCATAATAAAAAATACATGCTTTGATGTTGTAATCAAAACTAAAAAAGTCAAAATAAACTAGATCAATATGTCAACAAAGAAGTAAATTTTCGATTTTCTTATTTTTGGTACATAACTTAGAAAGTGTATATTCTAATTATGAAGAATGTCAAACTTGCATAGATCTAATTAATAGCTTAGATGCATTCTATCATACTTAGAAAAGTCATTAGTGTAATATTTATTTGTAAGATTATAAATACTTTCAACATCAAACGATTAGAAATCATTTTTAAGGTCTAAAGATGTGCTAAGAGTGAGCAACTTCACCACATTCTCATTAAATTTATAATTTAATTCTTGCAAGAATGGGTCAATAGCAGCGAAAAATAAATCAATTCAATAATGGTGTTTAATTATGATATGATCTCTTTGAAGACAACCTTTACCTAATTTATATCTAACCCTCATATCAAAAATATCAATTTCATATTTCTCACAAAACTCCTTCACTAACATAAGAAAAGGTTTCCATCCATCTTCTCTCAATTGTTGGAAACGTTTTGTAGTAAGCGATACTAAACAAATTGCATTGAGTATGTTTTGATAATTAAATTGCAAAGCTTTTGAGAAATCATTTGTTATCTTTAACAACTCCATCATAAAATGCAAGATAAATACAAATTCAAATGACATATTGGTATGTTATAAAAATTATAAAATAAGGGATAAAACTTAAAATTATTATAAAGACAAAATTATAAATTTTTTAAAAAATAAGAGTATGTTATAAAATTATTGTAGAGAACAAATTATAAAATTTTAAAAAATAAAAATTATTATAAAAATTTTAAAATTTTTAAAGAGACGAGCCCTTTCAGCCCCCTCTTTTTTGCCTCTATGTCAAACTTAAATAAAACTCTTGTATTATATATCTTTATTTAACTAAATCTCTCACTTTTTATTAAATTCAAATAAATTTTTAAATTTTTTTTTGAATCAAACAAGTTATTTGGTTTAACGAAAAAAATATAATTGTCCCTAAACTTAATGTCAATAAAAAAATTTATCACCATTAGCATTTTAAGAATAAAAAAATAACTTAAAAAAATTATGATATGTGTATGTGAAATTTATCTTATTTTATTTATATCAAAGAAAAAAAAACACTAATATCTTAAAGTCTCTCTCATTATAACTCCAACTAATTGTGCATTCTTCTTTGTATATTTCTACGCCTCCTTAATCCGGATAAGGACACTTGTATTCTATTTCCAAACATTCTTTTTCCCGTCCTCAGTTGACATCGATAAAAAAGAGTTCCATTTTCTTTCTCGGTAACCAAACAGCTATCTTTTGCCCGTGTCAAAGCCACAATGAGCGAAACCGCCAACCCAATCATCGAAAAGGCGGGCTCAAATTCCGAACCCAACCTCAAGCGCCAACCTCAAGTCGACGATGAAACTTCTGATTCGGGGGCAAAGAAACCCAAAACCAACCCTCCGGTTCAAGAAGAAACAGAGAAAGAAGAAGTGAAAGAGAAGTCATTGGAGATAGAAGCTGCTGTAGCAGAGGATAAAGGGTCCAGGCATACCATGGAGGATGCTTGGGTTATCATGCTCGATGCTACCTTGAATTCTCCTGGAAAATTAAGGTTTGATTTTATCCCAATGAGCCTAAGTCTCTCTTTTTTTTTAAAGGTCTAAAAAACAGTGGATATATTGAAAAAAATGATAATTTATTTTAAAAAGAACTTTTGTTTTGGGTTTGCAGGTGTGGGCATTTTGCGATATACGACGGGCATGGAGGGCGGTTAGCGGCGGAGTACGCTCAGAATCATTTGCACGCTAATGTTGTTTCTTCTGGCTTACCACGTGAGTTGGTGTGTTTTGCTTGGTCTAATTTCAAACATGTTTGATTTTCTGATGCTTTCTTTTAAATTTAGGATTGACAGCTCAATTTCTTTTTCATTTTTTCTTCAATGCGTTTCCTATTTCATAAATCTCACCTCGCTCCTCCCACTGGAAACCTCCCATTTGGAATCTCAAGTTCTAACCACTGGAGTGTCCCCTTGTTTTATGCAATACCACTGCCGTTCATTACCTAGCTAATTAAAACTGCCTGTAGCTTTTAGCTTGTTTTGTGAGTTTCCCTAGACAAGAGCCTTGGGTCGATTTTGTTTCACTGTTTACATGAGATAGTAAAGAATGTAACTAATTAAAAAACTTGCAGCTGCTATTTTTACCATTTAATTTTTCTTCTCGGATAGATGAAACAAATTTGATTTTGCATTTAGTTTTCTCATTATTTTTTTTTCTTACTGTCTACTTTTTCTCATAAAAACGCTTCTGTTATGTGCTAACCAAAAAGCAAACCACAATGCTTATGACTATTATTTGTGATGAATTGTTAAATGGTGCTGCTCCATCTTTCTTCTAGCTCTGTTGCTTTTTAATTTGTACCATTTTCTTCAGATTTTTCACAATGTGGTTCCTTATAATCTTATCATCTCATATGTCTAGGTTATCGATCTCTATATGTTCCATCAAATGTTAGCAGGAACATGTCCTAGAGTGATTGATTTCTAAGTTATACTCACCTTTTTCTTTAGTAAATAAATATGGGTTTCCTTTGGTTTTAGCTTGAATGTAGTGCTTCAGTTAAAAAATTCTCAAATATTCATGTGCCATGAAATCGGACCATTAACAGTTGTCAGGAAAAGATCTTATCCCTGCCAGTAACTGTCTTTCAAGGGGAAGCATTTAAGGTCTTAGTCGAGGAAGATGCAGAATAGGGAAATTGAGAGTATTATCTTTTAAATCAAACATTTGCCAGAAGAATTTTTTCTTACCATTCAATTTTCTCATTCTTTGTTTGCTGTTTGTGAAAGCTGTATTTCGACAAGACATCCTAGACAACCGAAGGGAGTAGTACTTTTAAACTGTTTGGATTGTGATATTTCCTGTTCTTTGCCTATAATCTGTTACATACTTCATTGGTGCCTTGGTACTTTAGTAATGTTAATCTTCTTGCATTTGCATCTAGTATTTGTGGCTTGGTATTATTTGCAGCTGACAGTTTATTGTTCTGTTTTAGTTGCTTGGATTGTGTTGTAAATAATTTTATCTCATTCTGTTCTATGATATTACAGTTAGATGTGAAAGCTGCCAAAAAGGCTATCCTTGATGGTATGTTACATTTTGCATCTCTCATTGATAATATTGATTTGATTTGATTGTCATCTTTATTCTTTTCCATCTTTTTTTTCCTTCTTAATTAAAGATCTTTTTTTTTTTGCTAAGTTAGGTTTCCGGAAGACTGATGAGGCTCTACTTCAAGAAAGTTCTTCAGGTACCTATCATTAGCTGTTTTATGTTGTCTTGCTTTTGGCATATTCCTCCATGCAGTTTCTAGCTTTTTGATCTCTTGAAGTGAAATCATTTTGTTTCCTTTTGTGTGTTTCCTACATCATCAAGCTTGCAATAAAGGAAGTTGGAAGAAGAGATAAAGATGCCTACCGTTATGAAGTGCAGAACAATTCTAACCATCCACCCCTCTCCTTTTTATTTTTCTTTTTTACAAAATCATTTATGAGGCTGTCATTCTAGATGATATGCACAAAAACAGATATGGAATTTCTGCTATATTGTAGAAAGAATAAACTTCAGAATCACACATGAACTTGTTTTCCCCATGAAAGTTCTTTTAATTTTCATCTTCCTAAACTGATCAAAACCATGTGAAAAAATCCTTATAAAGTTTTTGCGTTGGGTGCTCTCTTTGTTATTGGGCTTTCAAGATCATGGCATATATATAATATATATAAAATACAGATGTTGGTAGAACTTTTGATTGAAAAAAGTGGATATATTTGTTCATTATATTTCTAAATTGTCATTTTAAATATATTATTATAAATATTAATAGGATTTATCTAATTTGTTAAATAAAAATTCTAAAGCAAATAATGACTTTCATTAAAAATATTATTTTATTATAAATATCAACGAGATTTATCCAATTTGTAAATAAGAATTTTAATTGCATTGAATGACTTTCATTAACAAATGGCAAGATTAGACAAGAAAAAGCTAAAACCTGAAGCAAAAGCAAAAAGCACAATAAGGTGATCTACTCAGGATGATCTGTGATCTCTATCCAGGCTATGTGTAACTATTTTAATTGCTATTGATGCTACTAGGCCCCATTGATACTTCAGTTTAGAATTGGTTATCCACAGTTTCCTGTTTTAAATTTAGTTGTTCCAAAAGTTGATATTACATTCCGTTCTTGAAAAATGAGAATAACTGAAAAGAAAAATGCATGTGAGGCAATGGCTTAGAAAATTTTCTGTTGTTGGTTTTTCATTTCCTAAAGTCTGATTCATTTTGTTGTTTTCCCTTTTATAAATTTCTATTATAAATCATAGAAGCAGGTGAGAAGCCAACAACTTTCTCTAGTTTGGTACAAAGTTTATGTTACATGATTTCATTCAATCTTATCAGGGGGATGGCAAGATGGTGCTACAGCTGTATGCCTGTGGGTGATTGAAAAAACGGTAACTGTTGTCAACTTCGAATATATTTGATTTCATAATTATAGTATTTAACTAGAGTACTTTGGTTAGAATGTACTGGCAAGTTGTGTGCATATTGTCACTTAGTTGGAATAGTTCTAATTAACCTAGGGAAGGAACATTTATGTTAAGAAATTTCCTTTCTGTTTTCCAACAATTCTGTTATTCTAATATTGTTGTCTTTTGGATGTGCTTTTGATTAATTTACCTTTTGCATCTCTTATAGACTTTAAATAATTTACTACCATGTGATTCATAGGTTTTTGTTGCAAACATTGGGGATGCAAAAGCAGTAGTGGCACGATCTGCTGATGGTTCAGATAAAGCAAGTCCATTGAAGGCCATTGTTTTGACCAGGGAGCATAAAGCCATATATCCACAGGAACGTGCTCGCATTCAGAAGGTAAAGGTTACATGGGGATAAAGCATACTGCAATATCTCGCTTTGTGTGGTTTGGTGTTGAGATTACTTAGAGGACAAGCTACTAAAATATCTCTGTTTGTGTTGGTGGGTTTTTAAAAGAAGATTGATGACATATGTTTCTCTTGGCTTTCTAAGAGACTAGCTTGATGATTCAAGTGTGCATGCCATATGCAGTCAAATGTCTTTGTCCATCAGCTTCAATGGTGAATGATGGGTAATCCAGGCTTGTATTTTACTATCTTGTTTAAAAAAAAAAAAAACAAAGACAGTGGTATTTTAACTCCTATCAGACATGTATTGTCTGATATGGTTGTAGGGTAAAAAGTGTTAGCATATGAGCTGACGAAAGCTAATTGCAAAAAAAGCCCAAAGGCTGTAAGCTGCTTCTGGAATAACTATGCCTGGTTAAGAACACATAATTGGAGTCATGATCTAGAGGTGGTCTTGCTGGAATATGATTCGAAATTCGAATGGCCAAGCCACTTGGATTGGCTGGTTTACAGGCCTAACTGGAATCTGATATTGCTGCTAGGAGTGACTACTGTTTTAGATTTCTTCCCTTTGCATTAAGTACATATCTTAATCTTTAGAAGCCTTAGCATGCCATCTTTTGAGAGCCTGTTTGGCCTAGCTTTTTTCTAGCTTAAAAGCTATTATAAAGCTCTTATGAAAAATAATAGCTTTTAGAATTAAGCTGAAGTTGTTTGGTAAATTTTTTTTATAAGTTTTTTTTTATAAGTTATAATTTTGGTTAAAATTATCATCAAGGGTATTTTTTTTTAAGAGAGTTATATTGTAATTATTTTTAACAGATAAGAATATTTTTAAAACAAAAAAAAAAATTTTCTTGTATTTTTAAAAAAAGAGAAGAAAAAGCTCTTCATAGGAGGTTTTCCTAAAGCCTTTTTAAAAAAAATTTATTCTTTAAAAAAAAGCTACTTTTTTTTTAAGAGCTTTTCAAAATTTATGTTTGGCCTGACTTTTCCTTTTAAGAGATAGATAAGCTGAAAAAAAGCCAGGCCAAACAAGCACTGAATTGTAACTTTTGGCATGAAATTACATTTTTAAAGGAGTCTCCTTTGACTTGGCCAAAAGAACAAAAAAAGAGTCAATCTTCTTTGATACAAAGTTCACTTAAAGTGGCTGATATCTGTGGACTATGTCTTGAAAATTATTCAAATTAAACATTCCACCAAAATGCTTGTAACGAATACTATTTTCATTCTTCATTTTGTTATGGGACCATGTGATGTATGTTGCTTAAACACTGTTTACTTCCCTTCAATGACAAAGTTGATTCCTTGCTTTTCTTCTGAAACTTTGAGACTTACATAAATTGATGACATAATTCTTTCTTGCCTGGTTTCACACTATTAGCTCCACTGCATTTGGAAGATATCTTTCATGTCTTTTTTGTTGTATGATTAAGAGGGGGAACAAGGAAAAAGATATTGGAAGAAAAGAGTCTAAACACAATGTCATAGTGCTCAGAGGGTTAAGGACATGATAAGGACCATTAAGGTGATGATGTTGGAACAAAGAGAAGACAACAGAGCATGTTTAGTTAGTTTATTTGGTTTTGGGTTTATTTCCTTTTGTTTTTTTATCATTTAAGGGGGAAGGAGCTAATACCTATCTATGTCTAGTTCTGGGTGATATTGTTTCAATATACTAATTCTCGAACCTTACATGTGTTCTGTACTGTTTTCTAGGCTGGTGGTACTGTGAGTTCAAATGGACGATTGCAGGGGCGCCTTGAAGTGTCTCGGGCATTTGGAGATCGCCAATTCAAAAAGGTTTACATTGTTCTAATTTAGCAATAGTTTTACTATGGTTTCAACATTCTAACTCAAATAGATGTTTATTTTGATAACTTTATTTTCTTTCTTATTTCCTATTAAAGATATGAAATGTACTTCTCAGCAAAAAATAAAAACTAAAAATAAATTAAGAGGATATGAAATGTAGTCTGAATTGGTATCTTGAAGAAGCTTGCAAACTGCAGGTTGGTGTTGTTGCTACTCCAGATATTCATTCTTTTGACCTAACAGATAGAGAACACTTCATTATTCTTGGTTGTGATGGCCTCTGGGGGGTATGTCTTCTTTTAGTTTCAACATCTCCAACCATGCAATGTTATGGCCATTTATGTCTTCATTTTTTCTCAGTTACACCTTTTTGAGAATGCAACGTTTTCTATTTATTTTTTTCAAAAAAAAATTGTGTAGGTATTTGGACCAAGTGATGCTGTTGAATTTGTTCAGAAGTTACTGAAGGTAAGGTTGATTTATATTCTTTCTTTTGAGTTAGCTATTTATTGATATCTCATGTTAAGTGTCTGGGAAGAGGCAATGCTCCATTGTATAATGGGGAGTTCTGAATTTATTTTTACGTGATCAGGGACGTAGCCACATATAGTTGAGTGGGGTCAATATAGGTGTATAAAAGTAATTTTTTTTTGTAATTATTTTTTTATCCCACTGAAGTTGAGTTAAATCTAAAAAGAGAGGTTAAAATAAGTAAATGACAATGAGTAGTTTATAGTTTTCAAAGAAAAAAAATCTTAAAATATTTTTATATTTGTACTATGAATATGACTATACTTTTTTTATTTGGTTTAATATCTTTATACATTTGTCAGCATATTAGAAAAAAATGCAAAATGTGGCATACATTCAAATATAATTATTCTTTACAAAGTAAAATCATGCATTTTATATATGATCACAAAGAGTAATATTTAATTTTTATTTATTTAAGAATATTACTATTTACTTTTGTCTCTAAATATATCATTTGCTTTTTGCTGACAACAAACATAAAAATAAAATTATATCAAACATAACTAGTAAAATTCATGAACGATTATACCATAGGCATGAAATAGTATCTCATTGTATTAGCTTTTTCTTGAAATAATGTACTCAATTTTATTTTTTGTAAATTTAAAAATTTGGATTTAATGTAATTCTGTCAAATAATACAATGTGTAAAATATCATGTTTACATAGTGTAACTTGGCAAGTGGTATGTGACTCCACTAAAATTTTTTCTGGTTACACCTCTGCACCTGATCAGGACTTGTTGCTCATTCATAATTCAATTTAATATGATTATCTTGTCTGGTTGTTTATGTCTAAATTTTCGGACGTGGCAATTGGCGGGTTGGGTTTGGTCCTTGTCGGGTTCATTTTGTTTTGGGTTTGGGTCGTTTGGAGTTTGGATCATTTTAGATTTGGATCCTTTTAGGTTCAGTTATTTCAGATTTGAGTCATTTTGGATTTAGATCATTTTAGATTTGAGTCATCCAGGTTTGACACTCAGGTTATTCAGTTTGATGTCATTTTAGTTCAAGTTGTAAATTTTTAAAGTAAAATCAATGTAAATTTGATTTGTTTCGGGATAGTCTTTTAGGTCGTTTCGGGTTCAGGTCATTTTTAATTTAGATCAATTTGGGTTCAAGTCTTTTTGGGTTTGGATCATCTCAGGTTCGTGTCAATTTGGGTTCAGTTCGGGTTTATTGGGTTTGGTTGTTGACTTTTTTTGATCAAATCGGGTTAGGTCGGGTTTTGGTTTAAGGCCAGTTTTCCGGACTTGGGTCAATTTTGTCAGCTCTACATTTAATGCTTCCTCAAAAATATTTTGCATATTTGGCAGGAGGGTTTACCTGTTACAGCTGTCAGTCGCCGTCTTGTAAGGGAAGCTGTTCGTGAGAGACGTTGTAAAGATAACTGCACTGCAATTATTATTGTTTTCAGGTACAAGTGATTCTAGTATTAACAATCGTAGCTTCCAGGCTTGCTTTCTTGCTCTTGGGTGCCAATTTTGAAGAGGTTTATTTCTTCTTTGATTGCACAATCTGCAAAAGGAATGTCCATTAGCTGATACTATTCCAAATCATTCAGTTTTGCTTTTCATGTTAGCAGAATTAGACTTTTTGGCAGGTTGTTTGGGCTAGTTTGGCACTCAGCGCCAATGGTAAAATTTGTATCAGATGTTTATGAAAGCTGTTTGACTTGTGGTCCTCTCTGTAACAAGTTGCCGGGCATCTAGATAATCTAACTCATGGTTGTAAGTTGTACCCTTGAATTCTGGAGATGGGTGTCTACTGCTTGTTTTGCAAGCAAAAACATTTAGTAAATTAGTGCTTGTTGGCAGTCATTTTTCAATTTTAAAAGGCCTAATACATGATTTTTAACCATTGTTGAATGGCACAAGTTGGGAAATTCCTGCATTTTTGCTTCCTTGAATGAGAAGAAATGTAAGGGAAAAAGAAGAGAAGAAATGTAAGGGAAAAAGAAGAGAAGAAAAGCCCCATTATCATATTCTTGCAAGATGTGTTGCCGGAGCCTAGGCCAGACATCACATCCATTATTGCTTACAGCTGCAACAAGTTGTCTCTTCTGTTGTGTGATTGATTGAATACAGCTAAATTTCAGAAACGTTTTAGAAGTAAAGTCAATGGATCTTAACCCTGTTGTAAAAGATTATGAGATCTCTGGAAACCTCTGGTAGTCGCATCTCAGCCCACTTCTTAGGGCTTGTCTTCTTGGTGTACTAGTGGCCAAGATCCTCACGACTCTGGTTATACTATATACATTATAAGGAAGAAACATGACTCAAAATTGACTCCCAAGTCTATTCAAAGCAGCAGCATTGTCTGTTAAGGCAGATGATGAGCCCTTGGGACAACACCATGTTGCTCAAATGATTGCATTATAATCAAACACAAATGAATTAATTCATTTTCTCAATCCCTTAATTGATGGCAACATGGATTAGGGTATCCAGAGCACGAATATTCCCATCAATTCTCATGCACAAAGCTAACAAAAGGAGAGGTTCATGAATAAGGTTGCAATAACATCCATGCTCATCTCGGGTTAGATTTCCTGTCTCTTAAAACTGGTTTATCTTAGTACATTTCTATGCGAAAGCTCTTTCAAGAAAGATTTTGTGTTTGATCAGTTATGAGATCACAAGTCCTCTTTGTCTTGCATCATTTGAGGACATTGCACAACAAAGAGAAAATCAACCGAGAATTGATAATTGGAAGACAAAGAAGTGAAATCAGATCAGTTAAATGACATTGTTATGAAACGTTATGGACATCCTACTGGAAGACCTAAGATAGTAGCTGATATATGCAACTCTTCATGCTATATAGTGTTGGCAGTGATATGCACTGTGATTTTCTATTATTGTTTCTTTTTCAAGAAAAGGGTTCCATGAATAAAGTGATCTAGTTCATCCCATGGACATCAAATCTGCTCCTCAGAAAATTGAATGTACCATTCTAATTGAGTTGTAGGAAAGCTATAGAGCCAGAGAAACAGGAAAAATGAAGAACAAGGATAGGAGAGGTAGTTATTCCATTATGAAAGTTTTAATATTGTATTGTGCAGTGCTTCTGCCTGGCCTCGTTTTCCATGTAGAAACAAAGAATACTAGAAATGGCATTATGCCATATTCTGTTTCTTTCCAAGTTTTTCTTCTCTGTGCCAATCATATGATAATAACCAACAATCAGGCACAGTTTTTTAATAATTGAGATGGAAATTATGTATGAACGACAAACATTTTCTTTTTGGAGAACATAAACTTATAGTTATAATGATAATTCTTTAGTCTGCATATCATTAGGATTGGAGTTAATATATTGCTAGTCCTAGAGAACATATGTTGGGTGAAGCATGGGTGATGAGGTCACTACCAATGGAAACATTTTCAAGTTGGCCACTCCCTCCTACCTGGCCAACATGCTATATTTCCACTTTGTCTCCCCAACAAAGCTCTAATTATTTTAAGCCAATAAGAAAATCAGATAGGCAGACTAGATGCTTAAGGGACTACATGCAACTCACAAGGCTCCGACTGCCATGAATATTGCATAAAAATTACTTTATTATCACAACTGCATGTGCTTTTGAGGCGGCGTGCTGCAAAACAAGGTTCTTCCCGTGCATGTATATAAATATGAGCAACTTTGCATCGATATCATACCTCGACCAGGGACCAAAGGTGAAAGAAGGAGACAGAAAAGCAATGGCAAAAGAGAGTATTGTTTCTGACAAAATGAAGCTCCTCCTGGCACTGCTTGCACTTCATTCCTGCTTTGCAGGATTCCACATTGTCTCCAGAGTTGCACTAAACATTGGTGTCAGCAAAGTAGTTTACCCAGTTTACAGGAACATCATTGCCTTGCTTTTGTTGAGTCCATTTGCTTATTTCTTGGAAAAGTGAGTCCTTAGTCACTTTTGGAAGAGAAAACAATTAAAAAGTCATTATTTTTAGTATTATTTTTCCCGTATTAATTTGAAGAATGGAAGAAGGGCTTAGTCTTCTGATTGTTGGACTGGTTGAGAATGACATTCTAGTATTTTTAATGTTTGTTAATTGATTTCAGGAAGGATAGACCACCCCTTACTTTTCCTTTGCTGGTTCAGTTCTTCCTTCTAGCATTACTGGGGTAAGAACAACATTGAGCTACCAGGGGCTGTCAACACAAATTCTTTTTTCCTTTTGCAATGAGCTTATATTTTCTTTGTTTTGCATGCAGAGTTACTGCAAACCAGGGATTTTACCTTTTGGGTTTGTATTATGCATCTCCAACGTTTGCTTCTGCAATGCAAAACTCAGTTCCTGCAATCACCTTTGTTATGGCTTCTGCTCTAAGGTAACTGATGCCATAAACAAAGGTCATGCTTTCCGAAAGAAGGTTTTTTCTCTTGATCACCTCATCAACCAACTTACTATTATGCAGACTTGAGCAAATCAACATTGCAAAAAGAGATGGATCGGCAAAAGTGTTGGGAACTATTGCAAGTGTAGGAGGTGCCATTATAATTACTCTCTACAAAGGCCCCCTTCTATTGCACCAATCAAATACAACACAAGGGCATTCCACGGAAGAAGATATGTCCTCAAGGAACATGCAGAACTGGACTTGGGGATGTATCTACCTACTTGGACATTGCTTATCATGGGCTGGTTGGTTGGTTTTTCAGGTTAGCCCCTACTTCTCTGAACCACATATATATTTGCATCTTTATATATATATATAAACACATAAAATAGTTTGAAGTTTGTATAATTAGTGGTGTTTTTTTGAGTAATTAAACTTCATTTTTGTCTTCCTTGTTTGGTGCCTAAGGTGCAACATGAAAACTTTTGCAGGCTCCTGTATTGAAGAAGTATCCAGCTAAACTCACACTCACTTCATTTACATGCTTCTTTGGAATGATCCAGTTCCTGGTTATAGCAGCATTTGTGGAAACAGACTTCCATCACTGGAAAATCCAATCAAAAGAAGAGCTTTTCACTATCCTATATGCTGTAATACCTTCTGTTTCAGTGTTAGAAGATTTTCACCTTTTTGGTATTCAAAATTTTGTAGTGGATGTAAATGGTTTTGTTTCACATAATGTTGATCATGTAAACCTTTTCCAGGGAGTTGTGGCATCTGGTGTTGTGTTTTATCTTCAGACATGGTGTATTCACAAAGGAGGCCCTGTCATTGTAGCCATCTTCCAGCCCTTGCAGACACTTCTAGTTGCTATCATGGCATTCATGATTCTTGGTGACCAATTATACTCTGGAAGGTATGAAGAATTTCCACCAAAAAGAGGAACTAACAATAACTAATTTATCAGTAAACTTTGCCCACACTTACTAAACTTTTACTTCAGTTTTTGACTGTTCTCACCTTCTTTTTTGTCTTTGTAGCGTGATTGGTGCAGTTTTCATTATGCTAGGTCTTTATTTAGTACCGTGGGGTAAAACTGAGGAGAAAAATGTAGCCAAGGATGAAGATGCAGATACATTGAAGAAGCATCTACTTAATGATCCTGAAAGTAGAGATGTAGAAGAGGGTGCCGCTGAATCAAATACAGCTTGATGTATGTATAGATTGATTTACAGATCAGGGCAGTTCAGATACAGGCAAAGACTCCAAGATTAATGGCAAATTAACTATGAGAGTCCTGCTGGTCAGAGATAAGAGCAGCATCTTAACAAGTAATTAATCTAAGAAGGTTCTTTTTTTCTTCCCTAAATTTGCTAAAATATTGTCAACCTAGGTTGGCTATAGCACGCAAAAATGTACTGATGAAAACCTATTCAATGGCTTTTATATTATTGCAGTATAATTTGGTAGGTGAGCCAAATATGCTGGAGTCATTGGATGTAAGGCTTTATATGTTGCAAACTGCTTCTAATTCAATAATTATATATTCTGTATAGTTTATGGAACTCTTGTTTTTCTTTTATGTAAACTCATTTCCCCAGTGAGACCTATCATATATTTGCTCCCATGGAAGGGGCTAGGTGTTAATCCATCTAAGTCTGAGGCTCACACTTATTCATGGAAGATGTTTTTCACAGATATGTTGACAAACCAACTAGAATGACCAGAATCCAAGGCTAGAATCACAATTTAGTATGTGGTAAAATGTTCATTTTCATGCAATTTCCTGAAGGAAGGGAAGAGAAAATGTCTAGGACATATATACCTAGAAAATTTCCCTCAAAAAGCTGTCCAATGGTAATAACCAAGTATCCTTAATAGCCCTAGACATTCCTAAATTTTCGGGCAATCTGGCTTATTCAAGGCAAAGGGGAAAGAAGTTCGCATATGTTCTCACCTCCCAAGTCACTAGCTTCTTGATCAAGCCCACGGGAGCATTGCAATTGCCTTGGATCAGTAAACACTATCTATAAAGCAATTACTGCACATACCATGGCCAGATCCCTATTTGTTCTTTTCCTCGGGGTATGAGTGCCTAAAAGGCAAGGAAACTAATGACAAATGGGAATCCTACAGCCCAACATCATCTATCTTCAACTCTCATGTGTAAAATAATACAAGTTGTTGTCCTTCATGAAACAATAAGAAACAGCACTGTACTTGCATGGGGCAAAGGAGGTAAAAAGAACGCCCAAAGAATTCCCTGGTTGAAACTAATTTGAGAATCAGCTGAGGTGGATTCTGAAAGATCATTTTGAGAATCAAAATGTTCTTGAAAACAAGAAAGAACTAAATTGATCAACCATTTCAAAGATCAGACTTGTTGTTACTATAACTTTTAATACATGTGTTTCAACCCAAAGGGGAGAAGTCCTACATAGTGGATAGACATTACAGGAAAATTTGTCTAAACAAACCTGATTTGGGCTTCATGTACTTACTCCAAATAGCGCAATTCAATGTGATAAAAGCTAATTGAACCATAGCAACTGGTATTTTAACTAAAACATGTTGCAACTAAGTCAATGCCATAGCATTCATTTCCCAATATATAGAAGTGCTTGAATAGTGCATGCTGCATGGCTATCGTTTCATTGTTCACCGAATCTCATAAAAGATCATTCATAAAAAAAACTAAAGGTGACAGTGAGAATAAAAGTTATCAGTCTGAAATCAATGGAACACATGAAGACAAACAAAACTTGCAGAAAAAACGACCATCAAATATCATTGTCGAAAGCAAATATTTGGCAGAAGATTGCCAATTCAAAATTCTTAAGCATAGTCATCCCTAGAAGGAAACAAAACCACTAATTCAGAGAACACACAAATGTAAAAGATTACTAGAATGACACACTTCATCTCCAGTGCACAAAACTACCTTACATTAACAATATCATCAATCTTCAAAATCATCCTCACACACTCTGTTGCAAGAGTAATTGCACTTGTGCTTACAAGCAGTGGCTGCACCACATTCTCCTCCAAGATATTAGTAATCTGTCCCTTCCTCACATTGATCCCCGCATTGATCTCCCCTTGAGCATGCCGATTCCTTAGCTCAGTCACAATAGCAATCGGGTTCAACCCCGCATTCTCAGCCAATGTGTAAGGAATAACTTCAAGTGCCTCAGCAAATGACCTTACACAGTAACCCTCCATACCGTGCAACACCTTAGACCAAGCACCAAGCTGCCTTGACAACTCAATCTCCGGAGCACCACCACCAGCAATCAAAAACCTCTTATTCACCAAACACCTAACCACACACAAGGCATCATGTAAACTCCTCTCAGCTTCATCAATAACCAACTGGTTCGAACCCCGAACTAAAACAGTAGTAGTCCTTCCCATATTCTTAATCCCAGTAACCTTCACAATCTTCCCATCCCCAAGTGAAATCTCCTCAACAAGATCTGCATGCCCCAACTTCTCGGCCCGAAAATGCTCAATATTGGCAATAGGCAAACAATTCAAAGTATTGGTAATAAACTCAATCTCATCCCTCTCAACATCCTTAACAACCATAATCTTTGCTTTGGCCAAGTAATGCAATGACAAATCCGTAACTGCATCCCTCAAAATACTCTTTTGAATCAACAAAACGTTACAACCCGTTGCCTTAATCTTCTTAATCATACCCAAAATATAATTCCTTTCCTCTTTCAATATCCTATCCATTTGAGTATAATCCGAAACTACAATACTCTGTTCTATATCAGTTTTAGGAGGGGAAATCTGAAACTGAATTACCGCAATTTTTGCGTTCTCCATTCTAGTTGGTCCTCCAGCAGCATGGCTCGCTTTCTTATCGAAAACCAACCCTTTCACTAACTCCGTATCGTCCACGGTCCCGCCAAGCTTTTTCACAATCTTGATGTCTCTTAAATCAACCAAATCCGGTTTTTCTGGATCAACCACGGAGAGAACAGAATCAACGGCTAGCGGCGCGAGAAGAGTTGAGTACTGGCTAACAACCTTGCTGTTCAACGAAGTGCTGGCAGATTTGATTAAGGATTCGCGGTCAGAGAGCTCGAGAGGGACGGCCATGGCGGTGAGGACATCGACGGCTTTAATCGAAGCCTTGTGGAGAGAATCGGAGATAACAGTGGGGTGGATCCCGTGGGAGAGAAGGGAGAGGCATTGTTTGAGGAGAGCACCGGCGATGACGACGACGGTGGTGGTGCCGTCACCGGCGGCCGCGTCTTGGGATTTGGAGAGGTCGACGAGCATTTTAGCTGCTGGCTGGAGGACTTCCATTTTGTTTAAGATGGTGGCTCCGTCGTTGGTTATAATGACTTCGCCGTTGGCGGTTGAGATCATTTTGTCCATACCTTTGGGTCCTAAGCTGGTTCGGACGGCGTCGGCCACGGCTCGTGCCGCGTTGATGTTGGCATGGCGGATGTCTTCCTTACGCTTGTTGTCCACGTAGGACTCCGTCTTGGAAGAGCGCGGCTGGGCTGCTGTTACGGCTGCCATTTCTGGTTTCTTCGGGGGAGGAAATGATTCAGCGGATCGGAGGTGTACGCGAAAACCCTAGAGAAAAACAGAGGGAAAAGCCGAGCGAGGGTTCTGGACGAGAGTTGAGTGAGAGTGGGATGGGGGCTTGCTTTTGGGGATTTGATTTTTGGGTTTGGAGGGGGTGTTTGCTTAGTGGCAGATATGATTTAGAGTTACTGAGTGTTTCGACAGCCTTCTAAGCGTAATCCAAACGAAGCCTTGGAGTAGGGTTTTAGTTTCCAAAAATTTTATTAAGGTTTAGTTTAATGTCATTTTTACTCATTGTTTTTTACATTTTAAAGGTAAATTACTAGTAATTAAGTAAATCATAAAAGATAAATACTTAATTTAATTAATTAAAATAAAAATATTGATTTTAATAGTAATTCTTTTAGAATTATTATATATATATCAATTACAAAATTTTTAAACCTTACTAGGAGTAGCTTTAGAATATTGTCACATGTCTATTAATTTATGATAATAATTTATCTATAATCTATTTAATATATATAAGTACAAATATTAATAAAGCTTTTGATTGATTAAAATGATCTTATTTATTAATGATATTTTTAAAATTTTATTTTAAATATTTTTATTATCATTACATTTACTACCACATGTATGTATGGGATGAAATTTAAACTTCATATTATAAATCTTAAATTTTGAAATAAAATTTAAATAAATTTATCAATCACGAGTTCAGTTTTTAACTTAAAAGCATACTTGATAATTATTGAAAAGTTTATATTTATATATTTAAAATTACATTATTTGTTATTAATATGAGATTCATGATATATTATATATGAATTTTTTTATTTTTAAGTAATAATTATATATAAAATAGAAATAATTTTAAAATATAAAATTAATTATTGTTATAATTGAAAGGTAAATATATAGAATAATAATATTGAATGAATTTTATTAATATTTATAATAAGAAAAGTCATTTGATATGGTTGAAATTTTTATATATTTACAAATTCGACAAATTTATTAGTGTTAATAATGTAATATTAAAATAAACAAATATGGTAGTTTTGTTCAAAAATAGTCTTTCATATAATTGGATTATATATATATATATATTTACAGATAAATATTATTAATTTTATAATTAAAAGTATTTAAAGTAATAATTTAAAAATGTTTTTTTCTCTTAATCTCTAACAAATTGCTTGGGATAATTTCATCATTAGAAATCACTAATTTTATTTTTTAATTAATGCTTTTTATAGTAATCTCTAATTTGTTTTATTTAATTAATGCTTTTTAAATAGATAAAATTGAAAAAAAAAGTACGAGAAATATAAAAAATATAAGGTGTTCGTTCCCTAACAAACATCAGGAGTCGGGTGCAGCCGCGCAATACAGCCCCCAACTTCAAGCCAGGCCTCACATATTCATCTTTTGAAGAAACAAAAACCCCCTAAAACCCTCTTCACCAAAAGTCCTAAAAACCTCCTCAAATGTAACCAAATCCCTGTGGAAAGATTGAAACCGAAGAGTCCCTGAAAAAAGGAGTGACAATACAAAATGCCCTGTTACGCAGCCATATTTCAGGGCTTTCTCAGGACAACCGCCATGTCTCTGAGACCCAATTCCCTCCAACTCAACAACACCCCTAAAACCCTTTTAAAACCTTGTTTCTTCTCCTTTCTGTCCAGGAAACCCCCTGCTTCTTTCAGGCGTTTGCATTTGAGGCATGGCCTCGTCACGTGCTCTGGGTATCGGGCTGCTACTGCTTCTTCCCGGACTCTTGGCTTGGATTGGAGGAACATTGCCTTGCCTGCTTTGCAGCAGCAGCAAAGCTCTAATTATGGTCGCTATGCTTACCAGGATGATTCCAGTGATGACTCGGACCATGAATTCGGTTCTCCACAGTCTCAAATGGTTGGTTTTTGGATAGCCTTTTGTTAAATTTTGGTAAATTTTCGTTTTCTCTTTCTGTACTTAAGCTAGTGGAGGGAGATGGGTTTC